AATGAGGGCGGCAGGCTACTTAAGTGATTTTTCTATTGTGCTACTTAGGAGAAAGATGGGCCAGAGGCTGAGTTGGAGGCGCTTGTGTATCCACTTCAAACACAGCAAGCCTTTTAGATACAATGTATCTGTCTAAAATTTGGTTTGGAAAGATTGTAATGTTACTACAAAAAGAAGTACAGCAGTCTTCTAGTAACATTGTTTAGTTAGAATGTTGATGAGAAAAATATCAATGGGTTTCAGAGCCACTGCCTGTGCAGAGTGTGCTCATTCTCCCCATGTCTGACGGGCTTTTTACCAAGTACCCCAGTTTTGTCGGCTTGTCTAAATTGTCTCAATCTGAGAAAGACACACACACACACAGAAAGTGAGCCCTGTTCACGGTGGAGGCTCGCCTTATGTCCTGAACTGCCAGCAGAGACGCTAGCACCCTCCACCCTAGACTAGAGGGCTGGGAAATGACTAAATGAATAGAAATAATTGTTTCTTATTAGAAGTCTTTTGAGACTTTATTTAGAAGTTTGGTGATGTTGTTGTGACCATACTTATGCCGTAGGAAGCAATTAGTCTATAGTGAAATTGTTTTATGCATGGTTCGGTTCTGCTTAAGGTTAGTTTCCAAGAACCTCTTGGTGATGATGACATTAAGTGAGGACTTATTGTACCACTATACTTATATGATTTCTAACGCCTCTCGCTCTCCTAAACAAAGTCTTTAAACATTTTCCCATACACATTAGGGGTTTAATGTAATAAAGTTTTACACACAGCTACAGCATAAACAACTGTTTTTTTTTTAAGATTTATTTATTTATTCATACAGAACTGGGGTACAGGCCAGAGATGTGGAGGGTGAGAGGATTCACCAGAGACAGAGTGGAGAGCAGAACAGGCAGATCGTCGAAGTACACTGCTGAGGGGAGCAGCGGGCAGGTCAGGAGAGGTCTGCCTCGCCATGTGGATCTCCTCTAGGGCAGGTGGGGATCGCAGAACAGGCTTAAGCTTCTTTGTGCTGTGCTTTAACCCGCTGCACCACCAGGGAGGGCCCTAAACAACTGTCTTTATTATTACTATTTTCCTAACCACTTTTTAATTTTGGCATCATCTTAAAATAAGATGAATGCAATACTTAACATGGCAATTCTAGTATGTAATATGTACTCTGAAAGTAGTTGACAACTACTATAAAGACTGTCACTTTGAGAGGCCTGGAAAATGGCTTACAAAGTTCAGGACCAAATTCAAATTGTGCTTGTTTTTCCTCTTAGGCAACAATAAAGCAATGTGGGGTTTTTTGTAACATTGGTTTACATCATTCCATGAATTCCAGGTGTACAGCATTATAATTCAACATTTGTATACAGTAACTCATGATCACCATCAAAAGTCTTTAAGTGCATCAACATACACTTAACCCCCTTTACCCATCTCACGGATCTCCAAACTCCCCTCTCCTCTCCTCTTGTAACCAATCGCCAATCTGCTCTTTGTACCTAAGAGCATGTTCTGTTTGTTCACTCACCAAGCTATGTCTTAAGCCAAGTAAATTCGAGAAATAAATGATGTGTAATTTCACAATTACTGAGTTCCCAAGTCTCTCCACAAATAGTATCTTTCTTCTTTGTCAACCAGGGCAAGGCTCACCCTGAAAGTTCAGTTTATTCGAATCAATATGAAACTGGAAACCCATATCACACAGTGCAGGGCAAGACAAGTTCTTTCCCTCCACTGCCTCAGCTATGGAGCAGGTGGGTCAGGGTGGTGGTTTCCCACCCACTGCCAGAGTTGCCGCCTGTGGGCAGCCCCTCCTCAGGTGCCAGGTGGTTTGAATGCTGGACCCCCAAAACTCCCACAGTGGCAGAGTGGAAGTGTTCTGCTGCCCAGCCATAGACGATCTCTGGGCATCACCCAGGCTGTCCTGCAGCTTCCAGGAGGCTACAGAGGGACCAAGCGCTGATGAGGCTTGATGGGTTTTGAGCACCTGAGCATCCCTACCCCCTGGGCTCCAGTGCACAGCTCCAGAAGCTGGCAGGCAGGGCTAGTTTTATCAGCTGGCAGGCATCTTATTACCCACCAACAGTGGCTCTGCTGGGGTTCAGGTTGTGGGCAGAGGCCGACAGTGATGGCAGGTGGTATGGGATTCCCCTGCCATACTTCAAGGTTACCCTGTGCCCAAGCAAACTCTGGTGTAGGAAGCAACAGCTAGCCCCACATTCCCTAGTTCAGGGCCCCAAGGAGGAGCTCAGGCCCCACTGGACCATCACAAGCAGAAGCTGCAATTTTACACACAGATACAATGGCTGAACGACACAAGAAATGGCCCAACATAGCTCAGCGAGGCTCCTGCTCTAGGTCTTCACCTTCCCTGCCAGGCTGTAACAGCAGCAAAACAAGACTGCTTCAGTCGCTTGGCCAATTGCAAAGCCTCCAAACATTTCTTCATTGAGGTTGTCTGCTGGAGGCCTCTCCACATGCTTGCAGCAGCCTTCTGGAAGATTGGTGCTGTGGAGGCCAAAATCACTGATCTCGGAATTGCTAAAGACCCCCCAAAACACTAACTGCCAAACACTGAATGTGCAAATGTTGAATCCTCAACCCGGTATCCAGGGGCTGCTTCTGCTGTCCTTTATATTTCTTATCAGTCTCTATCCCCATATGTGATACTTTTTAACATTTTTCCTGGGGCTATGTATCCTCACCAGAAGCAGCCTCCAGGGGGCACCACATGTAACAGTCTTCGGCTTTACCCACAGTTACAATCTCAGTGACTCCAGCTGTGAGCACCTTCAGCTGCCAAGGTGAGTTGGATCTTGACCTGCTGCTTACCGGTTTGCCATGAGCTCCAGGCCCTCATCTACAGGACAGCACCATCTTGAACAGCAGCCTTTGTTTGGCACTTTTGGACACCGTGGACACTATCTGGGGTGTAAGACCGAGCCACCTGCAGAGAAACAAAGTTTCCCCTATTTGTTAAATAAACCCCATTGCTGTTGTTTCCCGGACCTGCATGGTCTTGATTGTACATGCAGGCGAGAAGCTACAGTGACCTGTTCTCTATCTCAGCACTGTCTTTTGTCCCTTGAAGCACTGCTGTAGGTCTGTTTCAGATACACAGCCTCCATGAGATGTTCACCTTGGTGAAGGTTATGAGCCCTGCACAACCCCTGAGCTGTGGTATCCACAACTAGCAACAATAACGGATTTCAGCCAAGTCCACTCTCTTTGCTTTCTCAGCCAATGTAGTTTAATTCTTCTGTTCTCAAACCCCAGTCATAAAACCAGTACAGACTCCCCACCCCTTGCACCTCCCAGACTTTCATGCCCCAAGAGGTCTCCTTGCAGTACCCTTTTCTTGCTCTTTGGATAATCAAGAAATGCTGCCTCCTCACCTGCCCTCACCAGTGCCTGTGGCATCTTCTTTTCAACCCTGACAAGAAGGTCTCAAAGCCCTTTACTTGGCTTGGGAGCAAAAACCTTCAGTCTTTCCCTCTGACTCTTGGCAGGTGGAGCAGTGAATAGCAGTTGGTAGTGTTGCAGGGCAACCCAGTGTGAACTGGGCTACCTGTCTGTGGGCCCTCACCTGCCAGGACATCCTTTCCCCATAACAGGAGGCTGATAAATTACCACCTATTTTGTGGGGGAGATTGGGATCAGACTGAGAAGTCCCGAGCCTGTTATCTTGTTGAGTAGTAGACGTGAATGATTTGTAGCTTCTTGGTTTTCCAAGTCTGTAACACATTACCTAGTTTCTACATATTGTCCTATCATGACAGGTTTTTTCCCCCTTAACTATACTTTGAATGCATTTTGTTAGGAAGATAAATCTCTATGTCAGGTATTATGTGTTCTACTTAAGTCTCTTAGGACAACTTGTCCTAAGATAACCAGTATGTATTTATATTGATGTGTTCAAAACAATGACAACGCTTCTTTCAAAGTCCTGGAGTTGTATTTTACATTAGTGTTGTCTAATAGAAATATCATGGGGACCACAAATAAGTGCCTGGTATGTTATTTTAAGTTTTCTAGTAAACACATTTAAAAACGTGAAAAGACACAAGTTATTATTAAAATTGATTTTAATAATATAGTTAATCCAAATGTATACAAAATCTTCACATCTCAACATCTAGTCAGCATAAAAATTAAGATATTTTACATTCCTTTTTAAAACCAATGTGTATTTTACTTTTACAAAGCATTTCATTTCAAAATAGCCACATTCAAGTGCTCAACAGCTGCACGTGGCTGGTGGCTACTATCGGAAAGAGCAGTTCTGCATAACTATGCTGCTTTTCAGCACATCCCCAATTTTTCTGTTTACGTGACACCGAACACTTAATAAGTACCAGGTACTGGACTAGCTATAAAAGTGCAAAACTTATCAAACTTATTCTGGTGAGAAAAATCGGTAAATCACTGGCGACAGCACTGCGCGTTGTGTGTTAGGTTTCACGGATGACATCTTAGTGTTTGAACTGGGGCACAAAAGGAAGCCGGCTGTGGGATGACTAGAGTTGCAGGTTACCAAATTATCTGGACTAAGAAAAGATACGTGTGTGTGTGACTACGAGTAAAGGGGACTAAAGGACGGAGAGGACTGGTTAGCAGGAACCCAGGACTCCGGCTGGTAGATGGAAGCTGAAGGGGAAGTGGGTGCTACGGAACCTTTGAGCTTACGCACTCAGATCCGCCACCCCCGGCCGCCCTACGCCGGACAGGAACCCCTGCGGCTACCATCCGTCAACACTGGGGGCGCTCCGCGAAGTGGGGAGCGCGCCCGCCCTCGCGCTCTCACGCGCAGAATTCCGCATCGCCCCCTCAAGGTCTCTGAGCCCATGGAATTTACCGTTCCAGTGTTGGCGAATAGAAGCACCTAGTAAAACAGCGCCTGGCGTTCTGCTCGCTCGTTTGATTTTAATGGCCGCCCAACCACTTGCAATAGGAAGCCTGGTCGAACGAGTTTATAGAAACGGTTGCCGGGGCCGGTAAACAGAGGCCGGAAGTCGCTTGACGCTTTGGTAACCTTGTAGCAACTAAACCAATGGCGCACTTCTTCCTGTTTCGTGTGTCCTCGCCAAGTTCTTTTCCACCTAGGTTGCCTTTGATCCCGGAAGTGAAGCCACGGCTTCCTTCTTCCCCAAGATGGCAGCGTCTGAAGACGATTTGCTCCCGCCTCGGCTCCCGGATCTCTTCGAAACCAGCAAGCAGCTTCTAGACGAGGTGGAAGTAGCGTCTGAACCCGCCGGTTCCCGCATTGTCCAGGATAAGGTGTTCAAGGGATTAGAACTCCTGAAGAAGGCTACCGAAATGTTATCACAGCTTGACTTATTCAGGTATGGGGGAGAGGGTGATAATGGCTGAGAACGTAGGCAAATAATGGTAACCAAGGATGGAGCCATTTGAACCTAGGTTCATTAGATAGGGAACCTTTCTTTCCTACCGCCCGCTGTGACCTTGTATGCATTGTTTACATTCTCTGCCTCTCCTCCGAGGTGGTCGATCATTTTCTCCAGCTTCTTGCATAGGTACTGGGTGTGAGCACCCAGCCACTTTAACTGCAGAAAACCGGCCTCTGTTTCCCGTGGTTCTTCCCTTTGCCCCAATCATTCCTTCTCGCAGGAAGCAAGGGCCGCAATTTGAATACCCATCCAGGCTTCACAGCCTCCTCTTTGCTCTTTCTAGCCAAAATGAAGAACTGGAAGAGATATCTTCCACTGACCTGAAGTACCTATTGGTGCCAGCATTTCAAGGAGCGCTCACCATGAAACAAGTCAACCCCAGCAAGCGCCTAGAACATTTGCAGTGGGCTCGAGAACACTTTTTAAACTACTTGTCTCAGTGCCGATGCTATCACATAGCAGAGTTTGCGCTGCCCAAAACCAAGGACGACTCAGAGGAAAATAACACAGCTCATTCCTCGGTGGCCTACCCTAACCTTGTTGCTATGGCATCTCAAAGACAGGCTAAAATAGAAAGGTAAGTAAGTACCTTTATATAAATTGAGGCCCACCCAAAGTGAATGGTATGTGGTGTTCTTTTGGTGAGAGTAAAACTTAGTAACAGTATTCAGATGTTACAGTGGAGTAAAAAACTTTGAAGGGCACAGTATCTTGCAGCTGTAGTGTATTTACAGGTTGAGAAAGCTCTGTTCTCAAGAGTATTGGATCAAGTGTGTGACACCCATCCTGAACTAATCTTAGTCTTGGAGTAGCTTCATTGTGACACAAGGTGTTCAAGTTTAGTTTTAAAAAAAAACAAAACATTTAATGAGTGCCCTTTATGTCTGGGAACTATGTTAGACACTTGGGATATTAACTGAATATGGGTACCTCTAAAAAGGTGTAGGTTTTCTCTGCTCTCTAAAAGTAGAGCTTTTTTTTTGTGAAAGCTTTTATAAGCCAACATGGTGTGAAGACATGCAATTATTTTTAGTTCATATGGAAAAAATGCTGAGTGTTCCCAGATCCAAACTATAATCTACCAAATAGTACATAAACCCTGAAATAACTAACATACAGGAAAAGCTAGAATGCCCTGATACATATACTGCCTGTATAAAATAGTTCTCGGGCATTGAACTTGGTACACCATTCTTGCTGTGGAAGGTGAGTGCTGCCTCTGACAACTTCCTCAGCTTCTGGGAACAGACACTGAAGACTGTTTCCATGCCCCACCTTTTGTCATAAAAGTGGAAAACCTCTTCAGATTTTTCCATTAGCAAAAACAGATGTTAATAACAACTCTTTCATAAAAAACCAAGTGGTGTAATGGGACCTTCCAAAAGTGAGACTGCCTGTATTATTTTCATTTGCATTTCTTTGGGTAACAAGCTCGATCCTCTGAACAGAGTTTTTAAGTGTCCAACAGAGGAGATAACAACATTACCTTTTGCTGATGGTCCCCATATTTGTATCACTAGTCCAGACCTCTTCTGAGCTTCACACTCCTTCTTTCGGCACCCTACATGGGTGGTTTGCCAACATAGAATGCCCTAATTGAACCCTTGACTTTTAACCCCCCAAAAGTGTCCCCACACTTTAACACCTTAGTAAAAGTACCACCATTTACTTGGCCTTAAGCCAGAGGCCTATACTGTAGTTTCTCTTCCTCCCTTCTTCTGTATTGCCACATCTGCTTCATCAGCAAGGCTTGCCAATTCACCTTCAACATGTATCCTAGGTCCTGTTTCCACTTCTACTATCATACCTTAGTCTGGGCCACCAGTATCTCTTGTCCAGAACAGCCAAACCACTAACTACAAGGTGATCTGGTGCCTGCCTCTTTCCAGTCTACTGTCTTCCTGTTCATTGGACTCAGCCACCATGGCCACCATGGCCACCTTTCACTTCTTCAGAAAGACAGAGCACCTCCTTTCTACTGTCTTTGTTCTCATTGCATGGAATACCTTCACTTATCTCTCTTTGGTTCTCTCTCTTTCACCAGTACATATTCCATGAGGGCAGGACCCATTTCTGACTTGTTCTCTGGGGTATTACTAGTTCAGTGCCTGACATGTAGAAAGTACACAAGAAATATCTGTTGACAGAAAGGAGGAACAATATGAGCAAAAGCCCCCTAGTAGGTAGTTTGAGGTATGTGTGGGGCATGAGAATAGGCTGGTTTGGCAGAAGCTAAGAGTAGTATTGTGGGGTATCTGCTTAAGGGAAGAAAGCAGAAATACAAATTATGTATTAATAGTACTTAGACTAGGAAGAAGGAATGAGAATGAAGTTACAGCAATCAGACAGTACTTTTCTACAAAGCATTTAGATGAACAGAAACAAATTATTCAGATTCTTACTTACTGTAAATCCTTACTTCCCATCATGACTTTTATTCTGAGACCATCCTACATAAAATACTCAAATGCTACACCCTCTCTCTCAAAAACCTGTTTTTCCAGTTATCTTCTCTGCTCTAATTCCCATCTTTGAGGAGTAAGTCTGATTAAGTGCACCTCCTTTCCTATGAGGAAAATAGAGAAAAAAAAATGGAAGCTGAGTAATTAGTGAGCCTAGTTTTAGATTTACTAGCTTTAGGTCCTAAAGGAACAACTGGATAGCCATGTCCATAGACGGATGGAACTATGCTTCTAGAACTTACAATCCTAAAGGAACAACTGGATAGCCATGTCCATAGACAGATGGAACTATGCTTCTAGAACTTACAAGACTGTTTTATAGTTAGTGCCAAACATTTAGAAACGTTGGTAAGTGTGAATAGTTTGTCAAGCAAAAACATGCAGAAAGAAAAAAGCCAAGGATAAAACTTTGGATGTAAGGGAAAAAGAAGAGGAAGAAAAGAAATTGAACAGGGTACAGATCGATGGACTTGTAGAAGTCTGAGGAAAGAAGAAAGCAACTATCACATCCTCCTTTAAGCTTCCCTTTACTTATGACACTTCCCAGATAACGGTAGCACTTGAGTTCTGTCACTTACCACAGCATAACTCTCTTACTCGCTAGGTTTGGAACTACTAAAGGTCAGAGATCATGACTAATTGCATCCGTAGTATCCTAGTAGTGTCCTTGTTGTCCAGACCCATAATAGGATCATACAGACAGAGGACAGATAGAACAGTTGTCAGGAAAATGGAAGCAATATGATGTAGCAGAACAGACCTGGACTTTGGACTCAGATCTGGGGTGACCAATTTCTGCCACTTTAATATATGGGGCCGTGTAGCATGTCCTACCCTTAATTTTCTCATCAGCTAACTATTATTACTGTTTGTAAAGCATTTTCATGTGTATTACTTAATTTGATTCTCTTTGCAGTCCCATGAAGCAGATACTACTGCTGTGTTAGAGAGAATGATTTTCAGAATTGATTTACCTGAAACTGTATAGCCAGGCTAGAAGTCTTCAACTTCATTTCTAGTGCTAGTTCCACCATAGCATAGAAAAGAGAAGGTTGGATATTTGAAAAGTTAGAACGTGGGTTAAGGGAAGGTATCTCAAGGGTAGGGGGAGGCGCTAGTAGGGTGAAAGGTGTAAATGCTCACGTCAGGGAGGGTGATTGACAGAGTGACACCCGGAAGAATGTGGATAGAGGCTGAGAACAAAAGCAGGATGGTAAGCAGATTGCCTTGGTAATGGCAACATTATCTGCTTAAACAGGAATGGAGACACAGTGAAACTACGGAATTAAGATGAAGGCGCAATGGCTGGCCATGTGGGGATGTGATGGTTATATGGAATCCACAAAAAATGACTGCAGTGGTAGCTGAGCAAGAATGGCCGCTCAGCTGGTGTTTTATAATGTGAATTTGCATTCCACCCACTTGACACAAATTCGTAATTCACTCTTTCTTCAGCAGCTTAGCAACAGAAAAAGGAGTGGTGAAAGTTGCCCAGTCAGAGGGGGACAGGAATTGATAATTCAGGAGTTTCATGTTTTGGTGTCAGGTTTGCCATGGGGGCTAGAACAGTGATGACAGTGGTTTTTAGTCTGTTTGTGCTCTGAGATCCCATTGCAGTATCTGGGTAGGAGGGATTGGGAGCCTTCTTGAATAACCAGGATGGGTTGTATCTATTGTTCTCTGGGGTTCCATATAAGCTCTCATTAGAAGAAAGGGTTCTACTGCTGAGACAAGTTGTTTTAAAATTCTGGCCTATAAGAATAGGTGTTAAGGAGCTAGAAGTCCCACAGGTGACAGGGAGCAGGCATAAGACCAAGAAGGTAGACCAGGGAAGGTCAGAGAGGACCAAGAAGGTAGACCAGGGAAGGTCAGAGAGGGCCATGTGTGTGTGTGTATATATAGAGGTTTTTTTATAGATCTATATATTTTTATATTTAAAGAGTAAGTTTATTAGAAAGAGACGGGAGAGGAAAAGGCACTTGCATAGGCACAAGTGGGCAGGAAGAGCTGCCCTGAACGGGACAGGTTTGCAGAGAGTGAGAAAGGCCTGCAAGGTTGCAGGCAGATGGCCTTAGGAGAGCGGCCTCCCCTGAGGGAGGTCAGTGCAGAGAAGTCCCGACATGGTACAGGTCACGGGCAGGCTGGAGGCTGCTGCCCAGCAGAGGGAGAGAGTGGGTGGAAAGAAGCACCTGCATAGTCACAGGTGGGCAGAGGAGTGGCTGCCTAGATATAGATATTTTTTTCTAAGACTTGGAATGCCTTCTCTTTCCTGACTTAGGTACATCCAGCAAAGTGGGTGGAGGGCAAGAGTGGGACTCGTGACATGTTCTCCAAGAGTATTCATGAACTAGGAATTGACCTTTGCAGTCAGAAGTATACCTCTGATTCCATGACCATGACAATTATTTATAATAGTATATAAAGTGCCTGCTTGTTCAGTTAAAGAAACAGAAGGAGCCTACAAGTTTTCACAATAAAAAATTGTTTCCAATCAAAACTGGGGACATGGGACTATGGTGATATCACACAGGTGAAGTGATGGTGGGAAGTCCACAAGGATTGCAACTGAGATGAAAAATGTGCAAAATAGGGCCCTCCTTGGTGGTGCAGCGGGTTAGGATGCAGCACTGCAAGCTGGCCGTAGCCGCTTCAGTGCAAATTCGATCCCGGGCCCTGGAGCTGACCTGCATGGCGCGGCAGACCTCTCCTGACCTGCCTGCTGCTCCTCTCAGCAGTGTACTTTGTCCATCTGCCTGTTCTGCTCCCCACTCTGTCTCTGGTGAAGCCTCTCACCACCTCTACATCTCTGTGTTTGTACCCCAGCTCTGTACAAGAAAGAAAAATGTACAAAATAAAGAATGATGTAAAAAATATATAAAATATAAAAAAATACAAATAAATAAATAAAAGTATGGTCAGACCAAGGAAAGGAAATGTTTCCAGAGCAGTGGAAACACTTGTTTTCATAGGCTATAGCCTTCATGGATAATTTGATAAAAACCGCAATGCCTCTACCTGGCAAAACAAAACAAAGACCCTACATGTAGAATTTGGTAGGAATTTCAGAGAGTTCAAAAGATAAGCACCCTTCCCGCTCACCTGCCTCTCCAAAAAGAAACAAAAAGAAAACCTCTGTCCGTGGACCGCAGGTTAAGAATCTCAGGCTTAGATAAATATCTACAGAGAACATCTGATTTTGGAGGTTTAGAGTAGGGTGCTAGGCATAAAAGATTTCAGGACACTTTCCTGGGAATGTGTGGAATTCTTCATTGACTCTTCAGTTGTCCTCAGATCCTTACATCCAGTCAATCAGCAGTTCCTTCTGGTTTATATTTTAAATGTATCCGCACTTAGCACCTCTCTGTCTCAAGCCACTGTCTCTTACCTGAATTGCTGCAGTATCTCTTAATTGATTTTCTGCTTATGTCCTTGCCTACAGTCTCCTCCACAGCCAGAGTGGCCCATACCAAAAAGTCTTTTCATGCCACTCTAGCCACGTCACATATTCTCTTCAAAAGCCTCTAGTTGCTTTCTCATCTCTAAATATGGCGTCTGATACTTTGGGTTTACAGACTACAGGATTCTACAAATGATGTCTCTGGCTATCTCTCTGACCTCACTTGCTGTTATTTGTCACTCCATGCCAGCCATGTGAGCCTTCTTGCTATTTCCCAACCAGGTCAAGCCAGACACGCTGCCATCCAGACATGCTGCCATCCCAGAACCTTGGTATTTGCTTTTCCCTCTGAACACTTCTGGATGTTGCCGTGGCTTGTTTCCTTCAAGTCTTGTTCAGATGACACTCTTCAGAGAGGTCGCGCCTGAATATTAACAGCACCCTTCCTTTCAAACCATCACTGTCTGCTTTGCCTTGCTCTTTGCACCACCACCTGACTCATCAACTGTTCCTTTTTCATCTGTCTTCTCCCACTAGAGTGAAAAGTTTGTGAGAGCAAGAACTTTCTTCCATATACTGCTCTGTCTTCAGCTATCAGAATAGAGCCTGTCACACATTAGGCACTCAGTAAATACTTGCTAGATGACTCGTAGAACACACACCACAACACCTGCCGGAAGCAGGCAGGGTGCTTAGGGGCCTTTATATTGGGATGGGTCTGAAGAGCTGGGGAGATTTTGCTCAGAAGAAAAAATGGCACCATTTTTTAAGGTTGTTTCACTAGGAATTCCTGCACCAGTGGCAGGCAAATGACCTGTAAGAGTCTGAGTCCCCAGTGGGCATCCTGTGATAGTAAACACCTGGCCTAGTTAGAGTTGATGTATCAGAATGACTAAGGTACTCCCTCCCCAAAGCTAATGGGAGGATTTGCTTGGGTGCTAGTATTTGTGTATTTTTTTGGCTTCAGGAAGTGTTTCTCAGATTCTGCTGATCCCATCGTTGTCTTGTAGCATTAAGGAAACTGCCTTAATGGCAAGCTCTGTATTTTTGTGAAGATGGAAGTTGGCATGTTCCTGCCCGGACATTTACAGAGGTAAAATCTAATTGTGGCCTTCTCTTGAAGAACTGTTTATTTTTCTATTCATGGGTAATGCTTTTCTGTGCAACAGATACAAGCAAAAGAAGGAGTTGGAACAGAGATTGTCAGCACTGAAACCTGCTGTGGAAAGTGGTGAAGCAGATGAGGAGGTTGTACGTGAATATTACCTCCTTAACATTCGAAGATGGGTTGGCATCAGCTTGGAAGAGATTGAGAGCATTGACCAAGAGATAAAGATCCTGAAAGGAAGAGACTCTGCAGAGGTAAGCCTGGTCATTCCTGTATAATTCAGAGTGACTGTCAGAGACTTGAATATTCTACAAGAAAGTAATTAAATTCCTTCAAGTGTCTGAAATCCTTAATCTTAGTATAAGATTAGTAGAAGATGGCAAGGTTCACTGGAGAACTTTCAGCTTACAGTATTGCTTCCCAGTGCTTTCTAATCTTTAGCAGTCTTCTAGTCATTTGTAATTTTGTGACATGTCACGGGGGTTGGGGGGTGTCTCTGAAGTAAAATTTGGTTTTAGCTATGGGAAGTCATGACTGCTGAAAGAAGACATGGGGGCTAGACCATTAAAGTATGTACTGGACTGTAATAACGGGAACAAGGAATAGGATGGGAATGGAAAAAGAAAGGTGGCAGGGGAGGAGCGAGATGAGTAAAAAGAACATACAGTATGTTTCAGGTGGGGAGGAGTTAGAATTGAACCTTCTCACACCTTTAGATCACACAGGTTTGAGACACAGCAAGGCATCTTCGTGCCCCAAGTGTCAAGCAAACTGGGAAAGAAAACCTGGTGTAGCGTGGCTTTGGCTGTCTTTGAAGATCATAACCTTGTTTTAGAGCTGCTGCTTCAGAAGATTAGACTCTGCTGCCACTTTTTGTGCTTCCACTTTTTGGTACAGGATGCAACTTGTTTTGTTTTGTTTCGTTAAAATTGTATTTATATATATATTTACATTATTGTTCATTTTAAAACAATGTTTACTTCCCCCTTGCCCCCACTTTGCCCACCCATCACCACCATAGTCTCCCACGTTAGAGGATGCAACTTGAATTGAGTTGAATTTATCAGCTAGTCACAGAAAATTTATTTAGGTCCTCAGTGAACCCCCTTCCTAATTTGATTTGTACTAATTAGCCCAAGAGCTTTTGCCTTAGGGTAACATCAACCTAGTTCCTCATGTTAAATGATCAAAGAATGAATAAGGCCCCTTGAGCATTTGTAGGTGAGTGGTTTTCAAGCATTTGAGGCTGGATTCTTCTGGGTCCTTGCCTTCCCTTTCTTTGTTGGTGGGGGGGGGGTTGTTTTTAATGCTCCCCCATTTGGTATTGTATTGACTCTGGAAGTGATAGAGATAGAGATATCTCTTCATGGTCCATTGTTCTTTCTATTATTCCCTGGACAACCAGACTTTCTCAAAACATTTCTGTACATGAAAGTTAGTAACTGATTCTTCCCCTTTGCATTTAGAAACATGCACTTGTAAAACACCCCAGAAGCTCTTGACCATAGATAGCATAATTCCACTGAAGAGCTTTTAGAGGGAGATTTAATAATTGGACTTCAGCCTGACAGCTGAGGAAAGGGCCTTCAGATTCAGCTCAGGGGATTTAAGACAAAACATGGAAGAAGGCTTTGGTTCTCCTTTAAAAACAAAGTAATTTTTATGTGAGATGAGAGAATTCCTGGGAGAGCTTTTTCTTCCTCCCTTTCAGCAAAGCAGTAGGGAGAGCTAAGTGACCACCTTGATGAGTAACCTGCATCCGCATCTTAGAGAGTAAGTGCAGTATGAGTATAGGGCCTTTCAAGCACCTGAAAACTTAAGACTCTGCTTCATGGGGTGGGCACAATGGCAGATGTACTTCTGATAATTAATTTCCTTTTCAGGCATCAACTTCTCACTCATCTCAACAAGACAGGCCTCCAATGAGACCCTTTATTCTCACTCGGAACGTAGCCCAAGCCAAGTAGGTAGTACTGAAAAGTGGGTTACTTTGTCATCCATCCCGTTTTTTATGGTTCACTTGTAGTGCGTGAGTAACAGAAAGGGAATTGTCAAAAGGTCATGGCTTCACCTGCGAGGGCTATTCTTTCATCAAAGGGATATTAGCTCTTCTAATTCATTGTCCTCATTAGACATTTCCCTCACAAACTTGTGCTTAAGACTAAGCACACAAGAATGCAAATGAAAAATAGAAAGAAAGAAGAAAGGAATCTAAGGGAGAGATACATGCTTCAAATTGTTTTCCATTATTGTTTTCAGCTGCAGTTCTCAAAAGGCTGTATTTGCCTGTCTCGGATTTAATTGAGTCTTTGAGATGCTTTTCCATAGGGTGGCAGGTGATCTCCTTCCTTTGTATACTGTCTGGGCTCACCAGCTATAAATACCCCCTCCACAATGCCAGTAATGCTCTGTGAGACATCAGCTTCTCACATTGCTTACTGGAAGATGATTCTGAACTACCTTCTCATAAAAGCTTCTTGACTTTAATGCCTCTGCCTTGGGTGCCTCCTTTTAGATGTCCTTCCAAAAGTTTGCACAACTCCTCAAAAGAGAGCTAGGTGAGAGAGCAATGATGAAACAGACACAGATTTTGTCACTGAAGAAGAGACTTTTATAAAGAGACTTTACATTTGGTTTTCTAAATGCCGTGTGATTCTTGCAGAGTATTTGGAGCTGGCTATCCAAGTCTGGCGACTATGACGGTGAATGACTGGTACGATCAGCGTCGGAAATACGGAGCATTGCCAGATCAGGGGATAGCCAAACCAGCACCAGGTACGAGTGGCGGAAAGAATATAGAAATAACTGCTATGTCCCTTACTTGGTTGCATTTAAATTGACACCAAGTATTATTGCTCTTTAGGAGCAGAGCAGTTTGGACAAAGATTCTGAATAATAGATTCTAGGGAATATTTCATTTATTATTAAATTAAACAACAAATGATACTGGGAGGATGGGAGCAGTGGAAACAGTTTTGACTCCATGTATCTTGGCATAAAAATGGATTAAGCAACTAGATTGCAGTACCAAAGTCCATGGACAGCAGTTCCACTTGTGGTAATGACAGGCTAGTTTGTATCAAGCCAGCCTCTCCTACACGCATGCACAACAGTTACAAAGTGAGCTAAATAGAACTTTAAAAACCAACTCCTCAAGACACTGCAGTGTAACCAAAAGCAAATGTAGACTGTGGACAGTGAGCACTTAGGAGAAGGGAATAGTATTTGGAATTTCTAGAAGGCAAGAACTTTGACTTACTGTGTTCTTGGTGCCCAGCTTGGTAATTAGGTCATAGTAGGTTCTTTAAAAAGGAAAGGTAAGAGGGTGGTCACTAGAAAATTGGAAGCAGTCTGATGTTGCAGAAAAATAACAAGCCTGTAATAATCAGTTCTTCTTACCATTTAATAGCTAGGACATCTTCTGGCCTCTCAGTTTCCTTGTCTAGTATCTCACTTGATCTTAACAGTGCCACTAAGCAGACATTCTTGGCAAGATTTTAGGATGAGGAAATGCTGTTTGAGATCTGACTTACCCATAGTTAACATAGCTAGAAAGTGGCCAGGCTTGAATTTTAACTCAGACCTTAATTTTCCTAATGCCAGTGTTGTTTCTACAATAGCATAGAGAAAGAGAAGACTGGCTATTCGAAAGGGTTTTCTATTTTCCATAGCATTTCTTCTGTGGGTAGACTACTACAATTGTTGTGATGTGGAGGATAGGTAAAACTGGACTAGAAAGTTAGCCAAAGGACTATTTTGGTCAAAGAATGAGAAAACTGACTTCAGGATGACTAGCAGTTGAAATGTGAGGGGTGGGATTCCTTAAAGGAGAGAAGCATAGAGGAGTATCCCTACCAAATTCTCTCTAACCCCTGCCCAAATTGCTGCCTGCCTTCCTGGAGTTTGCATTCTCGGGATAGACTCCACATACCCCAGTTAGGGCTAAAATTGCTGAATGGTGAATTCAACTGCTGCCCAAGGCACAGGAGGTAGAATTTGGTACTTTGGTTCTAGCGAAGTGTACTGCCTGCTAAAATGAAAAATAAGTACACTTCAAAGGAATAAAACAATGTAAGATCTCTACCACATACCACTCACAGACTGAGATTCAATGCTAAACTACTATTCATGTGGGGGAGGGGGGGAAGATGGGGAAAATGTGACTTTTCCTTAAGAGAAAAAGCAATCAGTAAGGCCACTTCAGAATGACTCAGATGTTGGAGTTAGCACACAGGGACTTTAATGCAGCTTATTTCTCTGTTCAAGGTGGGGAGAGGGAAATATTCTTATAAAGAGTGAAAAGATAAGAATTCTCAGTAGAAAAATAAAGTATACCCCAAAAGGTCTAGAACTGAAAAATCTATAGAGTTTGAGAGTCATTGAATGAGATTAATAAATTGGCACTACTAATAGAAACATCTGTTAATTTGAAGGTAGGTCAGCACAAGTCACCCTATCTGAAAAACAAGAGATCGGAACAAATTGAACCAAGCCTCAGTGACCTGTGGAACAGTATAAAATGGACTAACAATAAAACAATACCAAAAAAATACCAGTAAACTAGTTATATTAAAAGGAGAACAGAAAAAGAATGAAGGGGTCAGATAATAATACTTGCAGAAATGATGACAAAGATATAGATTTAGAAATATCAACAAACCCCAATCGTGTTTGAATACAAAGAAAATCACATATGGGCACATCACTGTCAGACTGTTAAAAACCAAAGAAAAAGAGAAAAAATTTGAAAGTAGTAGAGATAAAGTACATGTGAAGTACATCAGAATAATGTTATGAATTACTGCTTGCTTCCTATCAGAAATAGTGAGAGCCCAGACACGGGGAAGTAACATCTTTAAAGTGTTGTGGGGGAGAACCTGTCATCCCAGAATTTTATGTCCATGAAAACTGAAAATATCCATAAAATTGAAAGCAAAATTAAGATATTTTCAGACAAATGAAACTAAAAGAATTCTTCACCAGCAAATTGGCACTAATTCTTCAGGGTGAAGGGAATGATACCAAATGGAGACATGGATATTCAAGAAGGAATGAAGAACAGAAGTGGTAATTACATGGGTAAATACAAAGGACTTATCTCCATTCCTCACCGCAGCCTAATTTTTTAAGACTACATATGGCTTCCTTTATATATATATATATATACATATATATATATTTTTTTTACATCGTTCTTCATTTTTATACAATGTATGCTTTATCATCTTATGTATGGTCCCCAAGAATTTCCCATCACCAATATACCTGTGTACCATCACCATAGTCCTTTGTGTTCTTCCCAGCCCTGTTTTGATCCAGTTTCCTCCCCCCCAACCCCCAAAGAGTGTCAATGGTTTATAGTTGCCTGTTGATTTGATTTTTACTTTTATTTGGGTCCCCTACATCCCTCCTATAGGTGAAACCATCTGGTATTGTTCTTTTTCTTTCTGGTTTATTCCATCCATATTGCTGTGAATGGCACAATTTTTTTTTATTACAGAGTAGTATTGCATTGTGTATATCACATCTTGATCCAGCCATCTATATTTGGGCATTTGAGTTGTTTCCATAGCTTACCTATTGTAAATAGTGTGTCTATACTTGGGCATTTGAGTTGTTTCCATAGCTTACCTATTGTAAATAGTGCTGCAATAAACATAGGGATGCAGGTATTCTTTTGAATTAGTTTTTTTGTGTGTTCTTTGGGTAGAATCCTAGTAGTGGAATTGCTGGGTCATATGGTAGCTCCATTTTTAATAGTCTGAGGAACGTCCATACAGCTTTCCATAGTGGTTGGACCAGTTTGCATTCCCACCAGCAGTGTAGGAGGGTTCCTTTTTCTCCGCATCCTCTTAGTGTAAACTATAAGTAACTAGGAAGTTGGGGGTATATATTGTGTTCCCTAGAGCCACTACTAAATGAAGCACCAAGAGAATGAGAAGACAATCCACAGACAGGCAGAAAACATTTGCAAAGGACATCTGATAAAAGACTAGTGATGTAAAACACACAAAGAATTTTTGAAACTCACCAATAATGAAACAACCCATTTAAAATATGGCCAAAAGGCCTAAACAGACACTGCACCAAATAAAGATATACAGAGGGTAAGTAAGCATGTTGAAAGATGCTCAACATTCCTGTCATTAGCGAATTTGAGATTAAAACAAGGTACCATTAAATAATTTCTTGATTGCTAAGTGACCAAAATCCAAAACACTAACAGCACCAAATGTTGGCATGGACATTAAACAGCAGGAGTTCTCATTCACTGTTGGTGGGGATGCAGAATAGTATAGTATTGGAAGATACTAGAAGATAGTTTATCAGTTTCTGATTAAGTACTCTTACCATATAGTTTAGCAAATGAGTTGAAACTTAGGTCACACAAAAAACTGCATGTAAAGATTATAGCAGCTTTATTTATAATTACCTAAGCTTGGAAACAACCAAGATGTCCTTTAGTCGGTACATTGACAAATTATCAAGCCATAAAGAGTTATAGAATGACCTTATATGCGTATTGCTAAATTAAAGAAGCCAATCTGAAAATGCTTCTTTCTCTGTAAATGCTAACAATCACATTCTGGAAAAGGCAAAACTATGAAGACATTTAAAGAGCCAGGGATGGCCAGAACTGGTGGAGAAGTGATATACAAGCAGGGCACTGCAGTTTGGGGGCAGTGAAAAGACTGTTTCATGCTATGATGGTGGATGTATGTCATTATTTATACATTTGTCCAAACCCATTGAATGTACAACACCAAGGGAAAACTCTGAAGTAAACTATGAACTTTAATTGTAACAAATGTGCCATTGTGGTGCTGATGTTGATAGCAAGGGAAGGCTATACCTGTGTGGGAGGAGAGGGTATGCGAGAACACTAATTTCATTCAGTGTGTGAACTTAAAAACTGCTCTAAAAATACTCTTTAAAAAATAATGTAAAGAGTCAAAGCTAAAATCTTAATCAAGAAATTAAAAGGGAAGAAGACAGGAAAGAATGAACAGAGGAACAAATGCATATGAGATGAAGCAGAATGGTAGATCCTAGTTCAGCCACTTCAGTGTAAGTGGAATCAGCCTTTAAATCAGAGAAAACAAAATCAAACCTTAAAAATCATGGTTATCAAACTCGACTTCATGCTGACTGTAGAGATGCATTTTTAAAAAAGGCACAGATTGATTGAAAGACGATAAAAAGATATGCCATGATAACAGCATGAGAAAGCTGCAGTAGCTATAGTAATATCAGACAGACTAGATGTCAAGACAAATGGTGTTACTGGGTATAATAGGACATTTCACAGTGATGAAAGGAGTAATTTATTGGGAAGACAGAATAGTCATACACATGATTATACCTAATAACATTTCTGATTACATGAAGAAAAATTAAATGGAGAAGTAGACAAATTTATAATCACAGTGGGATACTTCTAATAACTGATATAATCACTAGATAGAAAATCAATAAGGATATAGAGAATCTGAACAACACTAGCACCCACTAGTGCTACATCCTGGGCCATTAATATCAAAATCACTCTGAATATGTTCTCTGACCACAATGGAAAGAGAAATGAGTTAGCAGTCATCAACATAAATAAGAAATCCCCAAATATCTTAAAATTAAACAACACACTCTAAATACTGATAGGTCAAAGAAGAAATCACAAAGAAAATTGGAAATTATTTTAACTGAACCATAGTGAAAATGCAACATCAAAATTCTTGGGCTGCAACAAAAGCTGCTGACAGGGAAATATGTAACTCTCAGTTACCTAAGGTTTTCCCTTAAATTGGAAGACCCAAGAACAAGGCCCAGAGAAAATAGACAAAACAGTGGGTTGAAGGCTTCAGGGTTAGTCATGGCAGTGAGGCATAAACTTGGACATGAATTACCTCCAGGCCCCCAGTGAGGCAGTTTCACTTCTGGGTTTATATACCTAGAAGACATTGACCCGATGGCCACAAAAGACTTGTACAAGAATGCTCGTGTGGCATTATTTGTAATACCCCAAACTGGACACTACTCCACTATCCATGTATAATGGAAAGTTTAAGTAAATCTGATATAGTCACACAATGAAAAAATGTTCCGCAATGAAGTTTAACAGTAGATCTTCAGCTCTAAGTGGAAGGTGTAGCAGAACTTTGCAAACATAATTAGGAAAAAAAAGGACAAAAATATATACTGTATGATTCCATTTATATAAGGTTCAAAAACAGGTGAAACTTATATAAGCTGACTTAAGAGCCAGCTTGGTATTCATCCTTCTTAGGGACTGATGAATGGAACTGGATTTGCTGGGTCTACTGAGGAACTAGTAGATGTTTTGTATCTTCATTTGTGTATTGATTATGTGGATGTATTCTGAGTTAAAAGTGCATTGAGCAATGCTGTTTCTGTCATTTTCTGCATGTTTGGTATGCTTTAATGAAAACCAAAAGAACAAAACCCCACAGACAGTATTTACAACAAAACTGGTTACAGTGCATCTCAAAATAAAACAGAATGTTGGTTACTCAAGGGAAAGAGGTGACGTGTGGAACAGGTAGAGATGGGTTGATTGGTTAGTGCTAGATGGTGACGAGACATTTGGTGGTGAGCAAGGTCAGAGACAACACTTGAAATCTATATAGTGTTGTGAAGCAATATTCCCTCCATCAAAACAAGAGATAAAAAGCAAAGCATCACTCATAGTCACAAGGTCTGTGTAAGAAAGAGCAGAATTCTGATACACAGGAAAATTCCAGAACAGCAAACAGGTATTCACCAAGTATGATGGTCCAGTTTTAGAGCAGCAGTTGAAACTGGTGTGATTTTACCTCAATAAAAACTGGGTGAGTACCAGGTTCTTTCATGTCATTGAAGTTTGTCAAACATGTACAAAACTACAGAAGGTGTGAAAGGGAAGGAGTAGTCTAGTCCTTAATGAATTCAACTGACCTGCCAGGTCTCCCTTTCTGACAGATTCCCACACTGAAAAAGAAATTGCCTTGAATAGAAATGAAATTGAACAGGACTAAGAATGAACAACAGATATTAATGATAGGTATAACAGCTATGAAAGTATTGAAAATCACTGTACTGCACACTAAGTGGGTGAATTTTATGGTATGTGAAATTTATCTCAATCTGTAAAGATAAGAATAGAAAAGTCAAATCCCGCACACAATTATAAGGGTAAAAAGGGAGAATCAGAAGCACTCCAGAAAGACACGCCAAAAAACAAGCTGTAGAATATACTGTTTGAAAATTAGTTGAAAGACATTAAGAAAATTATATGAAATATGGAAGAGAATTGTAAAGCAAGGTTAGGAAAAATCAGATGTGATAACAACTGGAGTAAATTAAGAAGAATCATTTCAAAATTGAAGGCTAAACCAGCAAGGATGAACTAACACAACAGAAGATGCTTCACTGAGGTAAAATATTTTAAACACACACACACACACACACACTAAAAAGAAGCCAAGGTAAGCAGGATTTGGAAAAATCCACAAATTATTAAAGCCAGCGAAAAGGCCTGCCATGTGGATAATAAGGGTATCTGAAAAATGAAACCAAAGCAAGGAAAAAGAATAAATGCCATCACAGCTAGTGATATCACATTTCAGTGATATCACACTTCAGGGAAGAAATCCTATATAATCAAAATCTTGACAAAGGTGTAAAACAATTTAACTTCATTAGTCTGAAGGGAAAAAAAGGATAAATGCTAAAAACTAACCTTAAAGAAACTTTACTGGAATAAAAAAAAATTGATTTGAAAAAGCACTGTGTACCTGAGAATTCTGACACAAAATGACCAAGAACAAGATGCAGTCTAATAAAATTATTAGACTTTTATAAAAGGGAAAAATGCTTTGACATTTCAGCAAAATCAGGCGATTTATAAAGGAACGAAAATAGATCACCCTCAACACTTTTTGACATGAACACTTTATGCCCAAGAAAAA